CCCAGAAAGCTCAGAAGGCTAAATGAATATTATCCCCAATACCTGCCACCCCAGTCTTAATCAGTGGTGGAAGAACGGTCTCAGAACTGTTTGTCTCAATTGGCCATTTAAGTGTAATAGTAAGAGACTGGTTAATGATTACAATGCATTGTAAAACCTTCACAAGGAAAGGAGAATGTTTGGTGGACCATTTGTTTTTTGTGTGTGTGGCAGTTTTTAAGTTATTAGTTTTTAAAATCAGTACTTTTTAATGGAAACAACTTGACCAAAAATCTGTCACAGAAATTTTGAGACCCATTAAAACAAAGTTTAATGAGGAAAAAAAATCTTTATAAGTTTAGTTTTTTACATTTAGTTCTGCAAGCTATGTCAAGTTACTTTTCGTGTATGTTATAGTATGGCTCATGGTTCAATTTTTCTTCTATTCAGATATACAGTTATATCAAGCAACATTGTTGAAATTATCCCTTTTCCATTCAAGTAAAAAACATTATTTTTAAAATTTCTTTTGTGGTTTTTTTCTTTGACCCATAAGTTATCCATCAGTTGCCTAATTTCCAAAAATGTATGTATGGATTTACTAAGTGTCTTTTTATTACTGATTTCTAATTTAATGCTGTATGATTTCAAACCTTTTAAACATGGAGACCATTGTTACAGCCAGGAATGTTCTCTCCTGATGAGCATTCCATGTGCCCTTTAAATGACTGTATTCTCCAGCTTTCCCTATAGTGCCCTATAAATGCCAGTTAGATCAGGTCGTTTGACTGTTTGCTGTTCAGATCCTGTATGCCTTTACTGACTTTTTATCTACTTTTCTCAGTAGAGAAAAGAATGCTAATCAACATTTCCAATTACAATTGAAGATTTGCTTATTTTTTTCTTTTAGTTCTGCATATGTTTATTTTGTGTGCGTAGAAGCTCTGTTTAAATGCATACACATTTAGAATGGCTATGTTTTTTTTGATGAATTAATCCTTTTGTCATAAAATACCTATATCTGTGGTAATATGATTGTTTTGAAATCTACTTTGTTTTATTAAATTTTAAATTAATATGCACATACATTATAAGGTTTCTGTTTCTCCTTTTGCAATGCCATTTCTTCCTAGATATATTAGATATTAAAATTACATATAAAAATTAGCTACTAAAATTTCTGAACTTAGCTTTTCAACCATGTGTTATAGCCTAATTCCTAATTATCCGTGGAAAAAATGTAAAATGTTAATGTTAAGCTTATTACAACTAAGGAACTTTTAAATCAAGGAGTCCGAACAGGTCTCAAGATAGCAATTAAATATTTTCAAATTTTATGATTTTTAGAGATTCAAAATTCAGAAATTTTACAATTGTAATTAGAAATTAGAAATGTAATTAGAAATTAGAAATGTAATTAGAAATGTTTTTACTATGTCCTTTCAAGTTATGCGAAACTTTTCATAAGTCCTATAAATCCAATGTAAATCAACTATAAAAGCAGAATGCTAATATCTCACTCTGCTGTAAATTCAAATCTGTATTTCACACATCTAATAAAAATGATCATTTAAAACTCAAAAAAATAAGAAAAACCTACATTTAAAATATTAAAATTTAAAAATCTGGAAACCAAAACACACTCTAATTTTTTGAAATTAGCTTCTACTTAAATGATATTATAATTTTACTTTTCTACATAAAATAATTTTAAATAAAATACCAGGGTAATATTTTAATGAAACTTATTTAGAATAAAAATTCTTAAAGAATCAGAACTACTGTAATAAAGTAGAACAGTTGTTGCTTAAAAATATACCATATAATATAGTATAGGGCTCATACTCACTTAGTTCTCACAACACACCATGCCTCTTCTAAAATGTAATAGTTCACATGTAACTCCAATAATTTATCTCTTACTTCTTTTGCAGATTTTCGACTATATATGGAATAAACTATTTTTGTCCGGGCCCTTTAAATTAAAAAACAAACAAACAAACAAAAAACAGGTTAAATTTTTTTAAATATATGATAATAGAATGGACTAAAGAAATTTTACTAGCAAATTAAAATCTCAATCCTCGCTGGATGGATCATTTATATATATATACACACACACACACACACACACACACATATATATGTATATATATATATATATATATATATATATACATATATATGACCCCAAACAGCATGGATGAATTTTGGAATAGCAGTTTCCACGCTCCTATTTATATTTTGCACATGCTAAAATGTAACAGCAATTTGAATTTTGCATGTATGTCTTGTTATCCAGTTTTATTAAAGTCTAGGGTTGGAAGCAGGATAATCATTCAGAATATAAAATTTGCTTTGCATAATTCATAAAATAATTAACACATTCAGATAGAAGCCAAATACAGTGAAAACATAAATTTCAGTAGATAATTTCACCTATAGAAGCTCTGAAAAGCATGTGAGTTGAAGCTGAATATAGCACATAGAACATTCAGACACTGGGCACCAAGGGTAGCAGCCAGATAAAGTACTTTCACAAAAGCTTAAGAAACAGGCATGTTCACCAAAATATGGTACAATACATGATTTAGCCCTAAATGGGAATTTTTATGAAACCCTGAACAAATAACCACTTATGCATTCGACATTTCTTAGGATTTCAAGCATAGGGGATGCCCAATCTCCACCATCAGACATAAAATTGTAAACAATTTAAAATTTTACCTCTAACAACAGGCCAAAAATGTGTTACAAGGAAAAGATTACCCTGACAATTACTATATAGAATAATGAAAATAATTTTTTAAGTCAGTCATTTGAGGAAAACAAAACATTCAGACCTCAATGGAAACTTAGGTAGCAAAAGAACACCCTAAACTTTTATAAAAGCATGTCATATAGCAAATTGCATGTGCTTTTTCTTTGTTACAAAAAAGCTAGTCCGTGGCCAGAAGAGTAAGATAGAGAATGGTTTGTTCTCTATCAGGTGGAGGGGCTTGTCAAGACTAGAGCAGAAGCTGGCCAATTATGGCCATGGGCCAAAACCACCGCACCTCCTATTACTACTACTGAGGCATTTTACTGGAACAAACACGCATGCACATGCATGCACACACACGCACATGCATGCTCATGCACAGACACACATGTACTCACACATGCACGCACACACACAGAGGCTAGTTATAAATATGGCACAAATTTTTCACTTTGAGAAACATTGGCTTTTGCTTTTTTCAGTTTTCAGAGGTTTGTTAAGCGGCCAACCTTAAGTCTGCATCCTCGTAATGTGGGTGATTCACAATCGGGTGCAGAGTAGACAGCTTGACACTCGCCATTATAGGCATGGCACCCGCAAAAACGGCATCTGAAAAAGATCCTCTTCCTTAATAACATGTTTTCAAGAAGAGCAAAGGTTACTTTTCTGTAATATTTGAACCCAAGTTAAGACAAATGAGGTACATTTAAATAATAACCCTTGGCATCATTATTTTTCTTCACTCAACATTTATTGACCGTCCACTGTAATAACAGTCAACTTTTGTTAAATGTAATCTTGGTACCAGGAACTGTGCTAATATTGTCACTTGGATTACACAATTTAAGTTACACAACTTCATAAGGTGGGTTCTATTGTATTCTTATTCTGTAGGTGAGGAAGCTGAGACCAGCAAAGTGACCTGTCCACCATAACTACCCAGCTCGGAAGTGTCAGAGCCCGCCCTCTCAGCATTCACTATGGCTTCCTGCCATGTCAGATCCGTGCTATGAAACTACTGCAAAGAAACCGAGGGGCTGTTAGGCCAAAGGGCAAGTCTCAGGGTTCATTTTTTAGAATGACTTCCATGAGTCTTGAACTGTAGTCCTGAGGACTTGCCAGAGGAGAGCCTTGTTTTCGTCCCCTCAAATCACCTTTTAATATTCATAATTGAGATTTCTTAGTTTCTGTTTGACTCTATATAATTTATACATGTCATCAAAACATTTCATTACTTTCTGTAGTAATGGCGTGTATAAAAGCATTGCCTTTTGTATAACTACGGATTCACCACAATCTACTATCGGGCTTCAGGTTCAGTTTTGTCTCTTGGAAAATAAAAAGACCAAATGCTTAGCTCCTGGTATAATAAATGATGATAACATTATAAAGGTTATTATACTTTCAAATCAGCACAATAAAATCATTAATAAGAACAAGCACATTATTTAGATCTATTGTAAATAACTGAATGCTTACTTTCAAATATAACCATTCTAAATGTAACTTTGAATTAAAATGTCTTATGTCTTAAATTTGGAAACATGTAAGTCAAGTGTAGTAGGAAGGTGTATTTATTATTACAAGAGTCGATAATTAATAATGAAAAGCTCTTAGGCTAGAGCAGTGGATCTCAACCCGGGGCGATTTTGTTTTCTAGGGATATTGCCAACTTCCAGAGACATTTTTGGTTGGCACGCTGTGGAGGAGGTACCACCGGTGTGTGTAGGTAGAGGGAAGAGGTGCTCCTAAATATTCTGCGATGCACACGACAGCCCCTAATATCAGCAGTACCGAGGCTGAAAAACCCTGGGCTGGACGGACATAAAGGCCAGGACCACATCATCAGGGAAAAACGATGGAGGCCTGTCCAGAAAAAGCCAGAACCTCTGAGGAGAAACCACACAGGCAGAGAGAGAGGGGGAGAAATGTTCTCTGTACTGTTCTTGCCTCTTGGCAGTGAGGAAAACATGAACATGATGGGAAAAAATATTTTCCTGTAAACAGTGAAGTCTCTACTTAGCGTACTGTACGTATTAGAAAAAAAGTACCCCTTCTGACTTTATCAGAGCTTCACCAACACGTGACTTGGTGAGTGGGCTGTAGGCTGAATTTCAGTTCCCACTATCCTCTCAAGTGAGCAACTCTGCGCAGTGCACAAACTACACAACCCTACGCGGCGGACCTGAACACAGGCACTAATCCCACCATCCCACAGGTCGAGCTTCACGCTGCTTTTAACAAACACGTGGTAACCACGAGAGAACTCATAATACAGCGATGAAAAAGACGTTTAAGAAAATCAAACAAGAGGTGGCTAAAAATGTGGTAGGAGTTTGTGGGCGTTATTTTAGAAAGAGGTAAGTTGCCAAACAGGCACTCTCTGCCGGGAACCCAAGACAAACACTAGAACAAACAAAGGCACAAGATTTAAAAAGTGGGTACCTTTCAAAGATCGGGGGAAAAAAATAACTGTAACTGGGGCGGGAGGAGAGAGAGGAAAGGGTGTGCCTGCTTTGTACTCCTACAGGGAAAATTCAGTATAGGATGAATTTCATAAATCTCATTAAACTGGAATCTCGAAGTGAGGAGGCACTGTCACCTTTGAAAGCCACAGACCCGATATCTGAGTTGAAGCTCATAAAAGTTTACCTTCATGATGGCTAATTCGTCAAGTGGTGACTATCAAATAAGAGATAAGAGGAGGGCCGGCCGAGTGGCGCGATGGTTAAGAACTGGCTTGGGACGCCAGAGGGCCCCGGTTCGGATCCCATATGTGAGGGCCAGTGACACTGCCCTCCACAGCTAAGATGCTGAACAACAGCTCAACCTGGAGCTGGGCTGCCGTGAGTTGCTGGCGACGGCGTAGGCTGCAGCCCCTGTGGCAGTGGGTTGCCATGGGCTACCGTGTGTGGCCAGCAGCCACCGTGAGCGGCCAGCAGCCACAGTGAGCGGCCGTCCAGAAGCCGGCGACTGATCTGCCTCGCCCGGGAAGAGTGCAATGATGGTGCCAACTTGGGCCACTGAAGCAGCGTCCTCCACAACTAGACTGAAGAACAAAATGACAGCAACTTGTCTGTTCCCCTTCCCCCAATTCCCCAACACTGTTCCCATCCCCCCAATTACCCAATAAAAATCTTTAAAAAAAAAAAAGAGATAAGAGGAAATTGAGTAAAGGAGTCACAGGATAAATTTAAATAAACCATAGTAAAGAAGTTGTGCCAGAGAAAATTATTAACGTAAAAAATAGTCTTGCAGGGCCGGCCGAGTGGCTCAGTTGGTTAAGAGCTCACTCAAGGTTTGAGCTCTGAGCAACAGCGGTTCGAGTCCAGCCCAAGCTGAGCAGCCGCTGAGCTGCCAACAGGTAGCAGGATGGCTCAGAAAAAAAAAAAAAGTAGTCTTGCACAAGATTATAGATTACTTATAAAATATACTATAAAACATACTAATTCTCTAGAAAGGCATTTAAAAGTAAAATAAATATCTGTCTGCTTGAGGTGATTTTGGAAAGATAGGAAGAAAAAAGGTAGGCTAAAAATAATATTTTAGAGTATTTAAAAGTAGGGTGTATAGTTATCTCATTGAAATGATTTAGTGAAGAAGACACCCCAGATTTTAACTCTTCTGCAAGTGACTGGTTTTACTGAGGTGGAGCAGATGGCACTGACGGAAGTGACAGAAGTGGTGTAAGCTCCCCACAGGTCTGTCACAGGTGTGATATTTTGTCATTAAAGATGTATTTCTTTGATTTGTAATTTTTTAGGGTTAAAATGAAATAACAATCTAAGTTCAGCACATAACTGAACAACGATTCGTTCCTGATGTTCATGAAAATACTTTCTGACAGGGATTTAAAGAGGACACAAAATCACTGTTTTGAAAAGGTTTGATTTGGTGGACGATGCAATTAGCATGCGCAGCATCTGTGAGGGTATAAATGACCATATGTGTGTGAGTATTTTTAAATATGTGATATGAGACTAGCTGCACGTAATATAACTAAACAGCTACATACCTGGCCTGGTATTGTACTGGATCCACTCTATCAGCTCTTCCTGAGGCAAATTATTAAATTCTCCTATTATGCTCCATTGATTATGGAGGTTCACAGAACCTTGCAGCGACATTACTGTTAGAATGCCGAAGATAACATTCTCAAAACGAACTCTGCAAAAAAGCCATCCAAAGAGCTGAAATGAAAGAAACCATTTATTTATAATTCTCATATGAAGAGTGCTATTGGGTCAATAATAAATTCCCACCTTGCTACTTAAACCAAGGTGGATTACCATTTGATACTATCAAGTATACCAATAACATACAGAACTATCACCTATTGTTTAAAAACAGCAAATATTTTGGAACTACAGAGTCCAGTTAAAAATGAAGCTTTCTTTCCTCTCGAAAGAATTAAGGAAGGAACACCCGATCCTTTTAGCACTGATTCACTACCAGGAACTGAGATTAGCTGCCTTTTATGGAAATTTTGAATAATTAGAGAAACCCTACTAGTGCGGACATGTTTATTCCCCTCAGGAAAATAAGCATTATGATATTCTAAGACAAGACTCCCATAATCAAAACTAGACAGGATGTTTCTAGAAGTACCTTGGTCCCAAAATTCTAGCTGCTTTGTCTAGCTCTTTTGCATACTAGCTACAGTAATGGAAACCTCAGAGTTGACAGCTTTTCCTAGGGATACTCCGAGCCAAACAGGACACCACCAGAACAATTACATTGCACTTACTCTAATGTTAGAAGAATACCTGAGAGAAGAATACCTGAGGGCCAAGAAACTCTTGCATAGACCTGCACTCCAAAAAAAGACATCTGTGGATAGATACTAATGGAGGGAGAAGGGTGCTGCGTCACTTGTCACGGAAACTCAGTTAAAGTCTAGGAATAATTTTCGAAGCTACTTGCAGTCGCTTTTCTTAGTCTATGAACTTACAGTTGAAATAATCTAAGACAGAAACACTTGTTTTTATGTTCTGGATTTCTCAGCCACGTCACGGTAACTACACGGCAGTTGCCACCGTCGTTAGGGTGTGGTTATACAGGAATGAGAGCCTTACCCGTCGAGAGCATATCAGGGAGGCCATCACACACATGTGAGGTGTCAAAAACAGCTTCAGCCTCATAATTAAAATGGCAAGAGCAGCAAATGCTAACAACTGCAGGGTGTGAAAAATTAGCTAGAGAAACACAAAACAAAACAACATTTTCACTTTATATACTTTTAAATTAATAAATATATGACAGTATGTTAAAACTGTTATTACGTGTTAGGACAAGGATCTTTTTAACTTAGTATTTATTCACTTATCCAACAAAGATTTATGGGAGGCCTACTATATGCCACGTACTGCTCTGGGCGTTTTAGATTCATCAAAGTGCAAAACAACAGTGAATGATTTCTGCCCTTGTGAGGCTTATATTTTAGTCTATTTGGTAAAGCTAGATAGAAAATAAATATACGAAGCAAAACCAAATCCATTATAGAGTCTATTAGAAAGCGGTAAGTGCACTGGAAGAGAACATGGAGCAGGGAAACCAGAGTGGGGGTGCAGGGGGGGTGTGAGGCCACAGGCGGGAGGCGTGGTAAGTGTAATTGGGCTCATCACGTGGGCCCCAGAGAAGACGGTGTCTGGGCAAGGACCTCCCCAGATCAGGAAGTGAGCCACAGAGACCCAAAAACAGGCCATGCTTCACAAATCTGCATGACATTCAGTCAGCAACAAAAATCATAGTAAAACAGAACCTAAATTATTTGAAAAGTAGTGGAATTATATAAATATTTGTACTAATTAGTAGGATTTCCTGTTTTGATTAAGATGGGGTTCCATTAAGCAAAGGTTTCAAACAAAACTTTTCTTATGACGTATTCATTAAAATATCAACCAACTTCCTCACCAGAAAGAGGGACAAATAATTATTGTCCCTCTCTTTGTTAAGTGGCAACCAAATATTCATGTTCTTACATTTAAAGAAATTAAATGTTAAAGATAATAAGGTATTTTCATCTATAAAATTGAAAAATATTAAATTAACACTGAGTGTTGGGGAGAATGCCATGAAACACACACTGAAATAAGCAGCTGGTTACATTTCTGTAATTACAAAGGAGCCAACCCCTTTGACTTACATTTCTATAAAGATGATCACTGAAGTGAAATAAAAGAGAAACAACCTAATTGACCAATACAGAGGAATAAGTAACTATAATACTGCACTTCCATATGTATACAGCCATTACAAGATTACATATCAGCAGATTACTTAATGGTATGGAAAAGTGTTTAGAGTATAAGACACTGTACATACAGAATATTAATTCTGTGAAAACCACACACACACACACACACACACACACACACACACACACACACACACGTGCATATGCACGGGGTGAGGCTGTAAAAATGTATACCTAAAAAGTTAACAGAGGTTATTTCTGAATGGTTATTTTTCTGCATTTTCCAAAATTTTTAAATGTGTAATTCTTATAAGCAGAAATATATAATTTCTATTTAAAACAGGATAACTAACTGTACCCAAAGCTGTTTCTTTTCCTGTTTTAAGTAAAGGTATTAAAAATGGAATTCATTACTTAATTTTTCCTATTTCTGAGACCCAAAGTTGGAATGTAGAACATTTATTTCAAAATCAATCCTTCATTTTTTTCTTTAGTAAAATTCATTTTTGGGCAAAATCAGGGGCATGTTGTGAAAGGGACAAAAGACACCAACGCAGTTCGTATCCAAATAGGTCCTTTTGTTTAGGACCACGAAATCACAGGTGGGAAGATTACACAGGCCACCTCTTTTCATTGTCTACCCAGAGCAAGGGTCTCTTCTATAAATCTATGGCTGGACACGCACTATTTCCTCAATAGGAACACACCGTGGAGGTGCCTACTATGATGACGGACAGCTGTAAATGTAAAAAAATCTTTTCTAAAATGAAACCACTGTTTCCTTGTAACTTCCACTCCTGTGGAACTGCACAAAATTAGTCTGAACACATTTGCACATGCCAGTTTTGTATTATTTAAATACTATAACTATGGCTTTGCACTATCCCCACCTACACCCTTAGAACAATTTCTATTTTTAGGCTAAATATTCAGAAAACTTCAGTCATTTGTACTGTATTGTCAGAATTCTGGCTGCCTTGCTCTGGACGTGGTAATAGATGGTTCATGTTTTTCCTAAAATGCGGCATCTAGAAACAGACTATAATAGATTTGGTTTAATAAATGCAAGTACCTATCTGACTTCTCCCAACATTCCTCCCTTTGGTTATTGTGAGCTACAGGATGACACTCTCATTTTCTCTCCTTATTCCGGTCACCTCTACCTTAGCGACGTCTCACATGACCAAAATTAAATCCAAAGTAGTAATCCTTGAATTTCCTCTATCACTTGAAAGCTGAAAAAAGATTGTTTTCTTGTGCACACTTGAAAAGGAGCCTCACTATTTCCTTCCCTTCCTTGCATGTTTTCTTGTCGCTAGGTGACATAGAAGAGCTGTTCCAAATGGTACCACTTATGATTCTTTTCTAGTCTCACCGAAATGCTCCTAAGCATCCTCTACTCACAGGCTCCTAACCCCATGGCGCTATCTTGCCATAGCCATTTTATTCCCCATGCTATCAAATAGCTTTCTTTTCCAAAAACTGCTGCCATGCACACTATTGTGAACCTGCCAGTACCTCTTTCCACATAAAAATTACTAGAAAAATCATCACAATATTTTTTAGAGACTGGAAGCAAAAAAGGGAGACACTTTGGAAAGAATTCACTATCCTATTGGAATACGTGAGCCCAACTAGGTAAAGTGTGAGATAGCAGCTACCATGCAGAGTAAATAAGGACTAAGTGTCTAAGGCCGGCCCAAATGGCGAGGAGCTCTTGTCCAAACCCCTCCCACGACGTGTGAGGATGTCTTGAGAACATCACCAGCACAGTCCACAGGGGGCAGAAAAGCAGTCGAAGCCTCCCAAAGTCTCTGTCCAGAAGACTAACTGTAAAAGTGGACATTCACACGGTTATAATCTTATGCTAAGCATTACTGTAAGCACTTTACATACAATTCATTTAATCCCATAGCAACTGTGTGAGATAACTACTCGTATCATTACTATTACCGTTGCTGTTTTTGCTGTTGCCCAGAAGATGTGCAGTAACTTAGCCAAGATCACACAGGAAGTGGCAGACCAAGGGTCTGAGTCCAGCCCCTGTGTCCATGCCTTTATGCACTGCTCTGCGCTTCCTCTCCAAACAATAAACTATTCAACAACATGGTTCCATCGGTCTACGAACACAGAGGTGTACAGGCCCCTAACAGAAATTACTTAGTTTCTCAAAAGAAGTAACTCTTCCCCCATACTCTGTATCGCTTCACTCCTTCCATAGAATGCCTCCATGTTGGTGCCGGCGCTTTCACTCGGTCACAGAAAACCCTTTGGCTGTAAGTAATAAAACAAAAAACAAAACAAAAACACCCAAACCACCGTTTCTAACAGAAAACACAAACTCAACTGACTTAAAATATAAAGGGTCAAATACAAACTGATCCAATGACATAATAAACAACAGGGTTTAGGAGAAAAGGAAAGGCTGGCACAGGGCTGTCATGGACAAAACGAGGTATGAGTGGTGTGAATACCCTCAGTGTTCTCTCTCCCTAGCCTATGTTCACACTAGTTCCTCACAGATGCTGTGACATTCTGGCAATAAATATTGTCCCTAACTCTTTTTCCCCTTCTTTTTCTTTCCCATGAATTTACTAGATACTCCCCTTCACTGATTTCTAAGCCCAGAAAATAGAACAATTGGTTAAAAGGAACTAATTTGATGGAATAAATAAAATATAAACACCGTAAATTATGAGGGAAAAAAATCACAACGGAATCCTTTAATGTAACAAACTAAAATAATCAATATCGTGACAGTAGGGCGGTAACCCAGGGGTTTATTAGTGAGTTTGAAGGATGCAGGTTGTCCCTGACTCAGAGGGTTGGCACAAAGCAAGAAATTCAGAACTCGCTCCCTTATCCTAAGAAACCCTGCCCTAATCCCAAAACAAGCTGGAATGTAGAACCTCTTGTTATCATGTCACATTCAGGGTGAGTCCCACCCCTGTGCCACCCCCACTCCCAGGGTTTCTGCCTTCCACATCCTCCCATCTCTAAGGTGGACACATCCTCCTCTCCCAAACTTTGTAAGCAGGAATTTATCATGTGTGAGTCACAAAGAGGAGTCAGCCAGACAGAAGACTTCACACTGGAAACGCAGCGAAATCTGTCATTTCCTTCCAGAAGGGCTACTGTTTTTAGAAATTTAAATCTCTAATCCGCCTATATGTCAGGAGTTTAGCATACTCTCTTTAGTTTAAAAAGATTAAGGATTCTCCTTTGAGTCGGCTTGACTTCTGATTGCCTTTTTAAAAAACCATCATCTTAAAAATAGATCTACTATAGGACCCAGTAATTCCACTTTGGAGTATTTATCTGAAGGAAATGAAAACACTAATTCAAAAAGATATATGCACCCCCTATGTTCACTGCAGCACTATTTATACTCTTAACTAGCTCAAGATAATTTTGTCCTTACAAAAGCCAAGATATGGAAACAGTTAAGTGTCCATCCATAGGTGATTGGATAAAGATGATGTGGTATATATACAATGGGATATTACACAAAGGAAGGGATGTGCTCCCATTCCAGCCCTCACCGGGCCTCCAGGGCACCACCTTCTTGTTCTTTCTCCTGTGTGGCAGGTTGGTGCAGACAAGCACGTCAACTCTGGAAGCTACGTGCTGAAAAGGCAGAGCCATAGACGGAAGGAGTCTGGGTCTCGTGCCGCGGCTTGTTGGGGAGCCACCTGCTAGTTGGGAAGCCCTGCTTTTCACTTTACATGAGCAAAGAATTAAACTTCTAAGTCATTGAAATGTGAGTGCTTATCTCTGTAACAGGTAGTATCACCTAATTAGCGTAATCTTGTTATTTGCCTAATGGGAATAATATCAACATGAGAATGAAACAGCACAGTACATGGCACATAGTAAGTATTCAAAAAATATTAGTTATCATCATAAGCTATTCCCACTAAGTTCAAATTTAGTTGCCCTCTCTTTTGCATATGACCTTTTCCCTTAAGACTTAGAGGTCTACTACTTAGGAAATATTTCCAGCCCACATTGTTATTTTCTTTTATATGCCCCCAAATAATTCGGCACCATCTAAAATGCTGTCTTACTTGCTTCATGTCCCCATTGAAAACTTACGCGTACTTGAGGGCAGGGACACCACTGTACTATCTTTTGTGCCCTGTGACTGCTAAGCTTGGTAACTGACTGACCATCAAGTCCGCTTGTGGCGATCGCCACCAGTCACCATGGGGCCACAGGCACCTGCCCTGAGGGGCTGTAGCTTATTAGCTTAGTGGGCTAGAAATTGATTGCTATTGTTGAATGAACACAATTTAATTTAATTATGCTCCCTGGTAATAAATCAGCTTTCAGGCTGTCAAATCCTTACTACTGTTCAAAACAGAGCAGATTAAAGTGTGAGAAAGATCAGCAGAAATTTACCACCATGGCTGACCCACTCCAGCACTGCTGACAGGGCTCAGCAGTGGGTTACAACTTGGTGAATTATCCTTAAATTAGAAGTTAGTATACAAATCTCCCAGAGATTAAGATGAAAGCTTTACCTCACCATGTTCAAGGAGCTGTTTTCTGGAAAAAAAAAAATTCCCTGTTTAATAAATGTCCATTATAATATGATCACATAAAAATAAGCTTTATTTCTTCTTAGATTTTAACAATTTGATTCTCTCTAAACTACTTAGGGCCATAAATAAAAATACTTGATAATATCATTAAAAATTATAGCAATTTAAATGTCATTTATAGTCATCCCATTTTAAAAAGCTGGTTTTGGTTAGGTATATAAAAAAGCTGGTTTTGGTTAAAATAGGTTTCATTGATTACTGGAGACTGTACCTCTGAAAACACAAATGAATAAAAAAAATCTATTACATATCAACCGTGTACAGTATATACAATAATTTAAAGAAGCACTGCTGGACTTTTGAGTTGTTTTCATTTTTCACAATTATAAATAACATCCTTATACATAAAATTGTGAGCATCTCTGAGTATTTTCTCAGGATAAATTTCTAGAAAAAAAGTTACTGGGTAAAACATAAATATTTTAGTTCCAGAAAAGTTATCTAACAAATTTACTACATTTTTATGGTACATTTGCTGTGTTCTAGGTACTGTGCAGAGAACACAGAGTGAATAGCATTGATACCGTTTTTATTCTCAGAGTTTATATTAGGTTCATACAAGAGTACAAGACTGCCTACTTTAATGTCCCATTGAAAAGACTAGATACTTTAGTTTCATACAAAGGCTTTACAGGATGCGGAGGCCTTCTAATACGGATTTTGAGGGTGGAGAGAGAAGTAAGATAGTAAGAAGTTCAAGGGCCCACACAGATCTAGAGATTAAAAAAAATAAATAAAACAAGGGTAGTCAGGGAAAGGCCTCTCCAGACAGTAGTGCAATCACCAAATTACTTTGTTTCCATCACAGTTCTTCCTTGACTTTGCAGCCAAGGTTGGGGGTAGTGGGGGATGGATGGGTTCTCACTGGTCCTGAAATCTGCCAGTCACTACAGATTCTGTAGTAAGCTGTGCAAGCGAGAGGCCTGGTAGGTAAGTAATTATGATATTATAACTATGAATTACAATTATTCATAATTATAATTATGAATCACCAAGAGCCCTGACATTAACTACCGATACAAATAAATCTAAATAGTTAATTTAAAATTTTAAATTAAACTAAATTTAAAATACAAATATACAACTGAATCATGAGGCACAAATAGAATGAAAGAAAGACATGACAAATAAGCAAATGAACTGGCCTCTTGGAAAACAAGAGTTAATGCAAGAAATAAAAGAAAGTATTAAATGAAAATTCCAATTATTATCTTCAGAAACTTTAAGAGGATATTGCATCCATACAATTAGAACAAGCTGCCAGAAGTTCCAAGCACTTTACAAGCATTAACTTTTCTTATATATATATACATATATATACATACATACATATATATATATATATGTATGTATGTATATGTAGTAACCCTGTGAGATCAAGGTTATTATTTCCATTTTAGGGAAACTGGGGCACGAAGCGATTACATGACTTGCCCACACTGATAAGTAAAGATACACCATACTACTGGATTGGAGAACCAATTATATAAAGATTACATTCTCTTTGAATTAATCTAAAGCTATTCCAAGAGACTCTGGTGGGTGCCTGGGGGATTCTAGACACATTTATTCCCAAGTTTACCTGATAAAGCCAATGTAAGCAAATGTGAAAAACAATAACAATAAAGAAGAAATTGTGTTGTTCTGACTCAGAAACAAGCAAATAATTCAATATAAGAGAGAATTTAAAACGGAATCAAGTACGTATGAGAATTGGTATGTGATTAAAACTGACATTCCAAATGATTGGGGAAAAGACAGATTACACAGTATTGTGTTGGGACAATTCCTCATTTGAGGGGGAATTCAACACTGTGGAATGAATGCAAGATTGATTAATGATCTACATGTAAAATAGAAAATTAAGGAGAATGTCAGCAAGACAGCGGAGCAGGAGAGAGCAGCCTTGGACTCTTCACAAAGAACAACAATTGGACAGCTATCCACCAACGGGAATCACCTCAGAAAGACTTAAGAGTGAAATTATGAACCTACAGCAACACAATGGAGCAGAAAATAGAGAAGAGCTGCACACAAAGAATCGCTATGGAGACTGGCTCAGCGGAGACACTGGAGACAGCTATAAACAAAGAGGGGCAAGGGCCGCGGGTTTCAGCCATGGGGCGGGTGCTGCAGTGGTCCCCGGAGACCTGCTCTGCGAGGACCCCAGTAGCTTTTGTCAGTGAGCACCTCAATGGCCCCCACAACAGCCATGGGCTCCCTGCAGCTTGCACAGCAGAGGAGCCCACAGTGTTTGTCGGCACGGATCCCACTGGCCGGCACCTTTCTCCACTGAGGTAACCAACAGCCATGGCGGACGCAGACCCCCAGAGGAAAAGGTGATGGCCCCATCAACTTAGGCCTAAAAGAAACATGAAAAATCAAGAAAACATGACACAACCGAAGGAATGCAGTAATTTTCCAGTAACCAACCCAATAGAAATTGAAGATCTATAAATTTCTAGACAAAGAAAATTATGAAAGAAATTATGGGGAAATCTTTTAATGATTTTGATGTGGAGAAGCATTTCTAAGCAACAAATGAACACAGAAAATAATATGGTTGTGACTGTATAAACATTTTAAACTTCCATAAGGCAAAGATCATTGATAAACTATAAATTGATATCCTGGAAGAAATTACGTTGCACATGTAAGACAAAAGGTTTTGTGTGTAATGTATCAATTTTCAAATGGTCAAGAAGAAATATAAATAGAGAACAGACATATGGAAAAACATAAAATGTCTCTGGTAAAGACTTATAAAATGAGTTACTTTTCTTAAACCTAGCAGATAGGAAAAGTAAAAATTTGATAACACAGGTGTTCATGAGATTCAGGGAAATGGGTAGTCTCCATTCTCATCATCGTAAGTTCTCAGTATTTATCAAATCATAAAATATTCATACCTTATGATCCAGCAGTCCCATTTCAAATATTCTAAATTCTAAAATAGTATGCAAAGGTACATGTACAAGGGTGTTTATTACTCATAGCAATGGCTGTCACAACAAAAAGATAAATATGATCTAAATGTCCACTGATGTGGGAATGGCTAAGTACGCGCTAGTCATTCATGATGATGAACCTAAAACATGGAGACCATTACAAAGTTTGAGGAAAGTCTAGGCAGATACCCAAGACACACCGCTAAACCAAAATAATAACTTACAGAATAATGATACTATAGTCCACTTAAAAAAAAACACCTGTGTTTTTGTATGTGTTTTCTAGAATGATACACAGAAAGCCCTTTACAATCAGCACCAATGAGGAGTACATATAAGAGAGGGGAACATTCTCTTTTCTTGATATACTATTTTATCTGAATGCATTATTATAATTGTGTACTATTTTTGTAATTTAAAGGGCCCCCCTCCTGCCCACACACACACAGGGCTGTCACTTTCAGGTATTTATTTAATCACTAAGAAAGATCTCCTTATTTAGAGCTAAGTATCTTCTACCCATTGACCTCCTCATGTGTGTCCTTTTCCACATAACACCTTTCCAAATATCTGAAGACAGCTTCTATGTACTACTCAGGCCTCTATTTCCCACTTAAATATCCTGCCCGGGTCCCTCATGCATTCCTTATGTGAATAGTTTGCAGGGCTCTGTAACTCTTCTTAGGATGTCAAGAGCTCCATCTGAACAGAACAAAGTATAGCAGGTCTATCAACTCCTTGATTTGGAAACTATTTCAACAAATAGTTTGAACAATTTCAACAGTTTCATCCATAAGATTCTAATTAGCTCTTCTGACATCCATACAAAGCTGTTTATTGAAAATATGGGGGGGGGTATGGCGTTCATGGAAACTCTGTGAACTATCTTCACAATTTTCCTGTAAATCTAAAACTGTCCTAAAAATATATTTCCTTGAATACAGCAAATTGAATAACATATCTACAAATATAAAATGTATTCTAAGTTAACATTTTCTCAGAAAAAAGTTTTGTTCACAATTTACTTCTCATGTCCTATAGCAGTGTGTGATTTATGCTATATTTTTCTTGTGTATATTTATGCCATAATTCTAGTGACTTTACTAAAACCACAAAAATGTGGTATGACAAATAGTTCTAACAATAAATGTAGAAAAATGAACATTTCATGAATATTCAGAAAAACAAATAATTATGCTTTCTCTGAAAGTTAAAAAAAAATCACCAAAATAAAACTTTAGCTTATGTCTGTTTATTGACTTTAAATTCTAGTCATATATTAAAATTAAACTAGATCAGTTTAAATTTTGAGTTAATTCACAAATATAAATATCTCCAAAACAGGCCCAAATATATAAAAGAGATCCAGAAGAATAACACATTCAGTCTTTATTTTTAGAAAACATCTAAGTTTGGTTCTTGTCTCCTTTCTTAATCATAATGCTGAAGTTTAATGTCTATTCATTTGAAAAATTGACATAGTAAGTAATTTAATAATTGAATACAGTATGATTTAAAAACAACCATGATATAATTACCTTAGATACGTGTTTGCCGATAACACACATAAAGTATCACGGAAAGTCTGTGAACAGAATCAAGTCAATGAAACTTTTCTAAGAAATTATGTGACATTTAAAATGCCTTGATTCATTAACATAAACACCCTCGGTAAAAAGAAGTATTTTTGTTGTTAAAGTGAGTTCTCAGGAAAAGTGTAGTCCCAGCTCTGCCCTAGACAAATAACTTCTTGAAGTCATAACTTTCTCTAATTAAAAAAAAAAAAAAGGTGTTGGAGTAAATCTTTAAAGTCCATTCCAGTTCTAAAATTGTAAACTTCCCTATATGGGTAACTCCTTATTAGAGTTTAAGTTTATATTTTACTGGGAGCGGGGTGGACTGCAGGTGGGGGATTGATTTCCACAAAGGAGGCAGTTTCCTTCATGTCCTTTCAGAGACTGTTTTACCTTACTTAACCTTCCAAGGGAATGAGGAAACCAATACACACACTCTCTTTCTCTTTGTCTCTGTATCTATCTATCTATCTATCTATCTATCTATCTATCTATCTATCTATCATCTATCTATCTATCTATCTATCTATCATCTATCTATCTCTATCTCGCTACACAGTCTCTGTTCCCACTTCACTCAAACTCCTGATTATTGTAAGATTAGCCATGGCATATCTGCTTCCCTGATCTATCTCAGCCTGAAGTGACTGCTGCTACAGAAAGCTTAAGAGCACTCATCCCAAAGTGCCGGATGATGATGAGGGTGGGAGAGAGGGAGGGGTGAAAGGGAGTGTGGAGGCTAAAGATGGTCAAAGAGGCTTTGGCAACAATCAGATGCAACTTAAACGGTAAGATGAGAAAATTACAGGGAACTTGGAATTTTGCACTCCTCGTGATGTGTGGTTTATACTCACAGATAAATGTTGAAAAAATACATAGTGAAATGTAGACTCTAATTTCAAATGAAATCTAAGTTTAGAATTTTTAACTCCTCCCACTGATTCAAGAGCATCCTGCATGGAAGAATGTGTCAAACGACATGAATGAAGAAATCTAGTCACTTAGGCAAGCAAAACCCTATTGAGGGTATAGTTGATAGAATGTATGCATTTATAGGAGTTCAAAGTTCAATAGCATCACAAGACAATCATACAGTATATGCCCTCCTTCTTTCCTTCCCAGAAGTGATTTCAAATGAACATCAGAAATATCCTTGAGACGAAAAATAAGCAACAATAGAACAAAGAAATACTGAGGGGTTTATATGGAAGCAGAAAGAATTTAAGCTTTAGTGGCTGCAGGAATGTGTGTGTGTGTGTGTGTGTGTGTGTACATGTGTATTTGCACCTGCTATACACTTTGTTCTTGCCATATAGTGGGCAATTGATACTTTTTTTGAAAGAATAAATAAGAATATCTTTCATAATGTGGCTTTCTTTAAAAAATCATATAATACTAAAGAAAGATCTGAATAAAAAAAATGTTTTAGGGAGGGGAAGAGTTCATCCTAAAAATAAGACAGACTTCTGAGCTTTCAGCATTAATCTACTGTGAGTCCTTATCTTGAACCCAAAAGCAAGTGATAAAAATTTTTTAAAATACCTTTTTAAAGATAAAATAAGTAATCACCATAACAACTGGAAGTAGTAACGTCTTTGTGTATCTCATGGGAGTCTGAAATAAAACAAATTATTCAAAATTGATTTGAATTTATTAAATTGTAAATGAGTAAAAATCCACATCAAATTGAGTGTCATAATACAATTTCTTACAAGTAAAAATATCTTTGTCATTAACAGAATATATATTTATCAATCTTCATGTCCTTATACAAGAATCAAAATTATAAAAACAGTTTCACAAATTTATCAAAAATTTTAATGATAACACTATTAAACCCAAAACTAGCTATGTCTATTATTTTTTCCTATCTGGTTTTATCTTTCTTTTATTTACATAATATTAAGTTGTATAACATGTGTTTACTGATCACTAGGCTGCAAAGTTCCATTATTTCCATTTGTGAAATTAGAATAAGGAAGAAAGGAAGAAAGGTAGCCTAAGTACTTACTGTAAGGATGAATACGTACTGAAATAATATCAGCAGCTAAATAATTTTCATGACCTATTATTGTGACAGGGAGTGATATACCATGTAACGACATTACAGGAACCGAGTCATTTTCTGCACTGTAGTTCTACAACAAACTGCCTCACAAGTAATTGTGGCCAATGACAGTTTTTGAATGAATGCACAACTGGTTGGAGACATGAAAGACTAATGTATGATTAGTAATATATGTCTCTTGGCAATAGCTTGTTAATAATTTTTGTAATACTTGGGTATTAAGTGAAATGAAACTGAAATTTTCTAAAAACCTAAACAAGAATTTGGATTTATTTTTCCTGAGTGGTCCCATACCTCCAACTGACCTAGATTATTAAAAGTAATTGAACTGTCAAAATAGTAATTCACTGTGGATCATCATATAGTATGTTAAGTGCTATCTCTGGATTATTTTATTTAACCGTCATCGATAACTCTTTAAGATAGGAGCCACTGCTTACCAATTTTACACATAACAAAACAGGTGAAGAAGGCCTTATGTTTAGCAAATAGTATAGTAAAAAATGCATAGGGTAAGTAAGTTGGGTGTTTCTAAATATAAATTTTGAGTTTCAGATTGAAAGGAAAACTTAAGAGCAAAAAACCCATCATAACTGTAGAGAAAGTAAAAACAAAAAAAAAAACATGCCGCTTTTTCCATGAAGTCAAATTCAGGAGCACAGGTGTAAATTAAGGTATCAAAATCTGTAAACCTTAAGATTCTGGCTGCTATAAGGTCACTCAGACGAATCTGAAAGGAAAGAGAGTAAAACAAATTAAAATTACACAAATAATTACAGTCAATAACAACTAATTTGATATAATAGCAATAAAGTCTACAGAACAGATAAATCCAAGGTACATGGATGTCCCTCAAAAGAAAAAAAACAGATGAACAAACGTGCTATGTGCTGAGTGAAAAAACACGAAAACAAAGGGAAATATCAAGAGCAATGAAAAGCTGAAAGAGGTCAGATAAAATAAACAGGAGGCAATGTAAACGGTGAGCTAAAATCAGCATTTGCTGAGCCAATAACTAGCTTGGGGACCTTGACGAAGGCACTTAACCTCCAGGCAAAAATAGGTGGTTTCAAAGTTTTCGTTCAGGTACATATTTACAGACATTTTTATGTTTTAACTAGAAGGTACTTACATGGTCTGAAACGCCTAAGATTTTAGATGTCAGAAATTTCAAAATGATTGTTCCACAAAACCAACCACAACCTTGAATGAGCTAAAAAGTAAATAAAATAAACATAAACAGAAGTCAGGTACTAAAAATTACTCAGTTAAAATATTTGATTGTATCAATAAATGACATAGAAAAATTTTAATCATGTGAGGGGTATTATTGATGAGGACTAAAAAAAGACGTTCCTGGGCCGGCCGAGTGGCGCGATGGTTAAGAACTCGCTTGGGATGCCAGAGGGCCCCGGTTCGGATCCCACATATGAGGGCCAGTGACACTGCCCTCCACAGCTAAGATGCTGAACAACAGCTCAGTCTGGAGCTGGGCTGCTGTGAGTCGCCGGCGACGGCGTAGGCTGTAGCCCCTGTGGCAGTGGGTTGCCATGGGCTACCGTATGTAGCCAGCAGCCAGCGTGAGCAGCCAGCAGCTGCAGTGAGCGGCCGTCCAGAAGCCGGCGACTGATCTGCCTCGCCCGGGAAGAGCGCAATGATGGTGCCAACTTGGGCCAGTGAAGCAACGTCCTCCACAACTAGACTGAAGAACAAAACGACAGCAACTTGTCTGTTCCCCTTCCCCCAATTTCCCAGCACTGTTCCCATCCCCCCAACTCCCCAATAAAAATCTTTAAAAAAATAAATAAATAAAATAAAATAAATAAAAATAAAAAAATACGTTCCTACAAAAACTGGATGTAGTTGATAAAAGTTGTGCCACCGCCTTCTGGCCCCCATAGTTTCAAGTCGGAAGTTGGCTGTGATTCAGTTTTACCCTTCATTTCTGTCTGCCTGCTTTCAAACTTCTTTCGTTTTCTTTAGTTTTCAGAAGTTTATGATGAGTCTTGGCATGGAATTTGTTGGGTTTATCATTCTTAGGATTCACTCAGTTTCTTGACTCTATAGACTTATGTCTTTTACCAAATTTAAGAAGTTTTCAGCCATTACTTCTACAAACACTCTTTCAGTCCCACTCTTTTTTTCCTCTCCTTGTGGAACTTCAATGATACAAATATTAGACCTTCTGTTATTGTTCCACAGGTCCCTGAGCCTCTATGATTTTATTTCCAATCTGTTTTTCCTCTGATATTTAGAATGGTAATTTCTATAGTTCTATCTTCCCATAGCACTGTACTGGAACTGGAGGTATAGTTATGAAATTATTTCATACATACAGATTTCATACATATAGATACACGCACATGAGTACACATACAGACACATACAATGAAAGGGTTCTGAAGAAAGGACAGCCCGGTAGCAATGAGAGTACTCACCACTCAGGTGCTGGCTTCTAAATACCATCCTACACTTAAAGGAGCTAGGGATTCTGGGGGAAATGGCTGGTTCCAGAGGTGGGGCAATGAAAATACAAGATGAGCCTGCAGCATCTCGTTGGGCCATCATGTAAGGAAGCGCATACATAAATAATTATGAAGACAGATCAAACAGGGAAAAAAAGTCTAGCTTGAGAAGATTCACAATGGCCAAGTCTGCAACTGATATTTATGTATGATGTGAGTTTTTCCATATATATAACAAATTATTACAGCATCATTCATTGAAAAGTGACCTGCAAGATAATCTTGTTATGATTACTTTGAATCCAAACATCAACTAGACAGAACTGACATTACTTACATAGAGTCTCCCTAGGCATGAACATGGTCTATTTTTCCATTTATTTTGATATTATTTGTCTTAACAATTTAAAAATAATTTTCCCAAGCAAATAGTGTATTTTTTTAGATTTATTTAGACACTATGTATTTTTTCTTCCTAATATACATGGCATATTTTTAAATACATGTTTTCTGTTTGTTGCCAGAGAATAGAAATATAACTGACTTTTGAATATTAATCTTATATCTAGCCATGTTACTGAATTCTTATAATTTCTATTAATTTGTATGAAAGTTATTTTATGTTTCCTATATACATAATGGTATTTTAATGAATTTTTATTCTTCCTTTCCATTTCTTTCCAATTTCTGTTATTTACTTTCTTGCTTTATTGTGATAGCTTGGACCTTTAATAAAATGTCAAAAAAACATATTTTCCTTGATATTTATTTTAAACTGAACACTCCAAATACCTGAACTGTTAAGAATGAATGCTGAAGTATTTTATTGGGTTAAGAAAACTCTCTACTATTTCTACTGTACTGAGAGTTTTTGTCATAACTGGGAGTTGAGTTTTATCAAATTCATTTTCTGCATCTAATATGATTATCCTAAAGTATTTTTCTCCTTTAACCTGTTAGTGTGATAATGTACATTTATGGGTTTTCCAGAAACATCTTTGCATTCCTGGGATAAATCCAATTTGATCAAATATAATCCAATTTGATGTATATATATGGTGGCTGTTCTTGAGTTGCTACTTTTTTCTTTCATATTTTTATATCCATAAAATATTTTTCATCTAGGTAGAATTTTGAATCTATGTTCATGAGTAAGAATAGCCTTTCACATGGCTGTCCTTGCCTGACCTTAGTATTGGGCTTTAGGTTACCAGTGAGATGCTGTTTCCTTTCTTGAAGGATTCTCATCTCTCATGACACACACAGCTTCCCTTGGTGTGTCTGAGTAAATTTCAGCATTAGTCAGTTCATTAATTACCTTGCAACCAAAAATTCAAATCTCTCATTAAATATTGAATTTGCTCCTATTAAACTATAATTTTCAATTAGGTTAAAAGTAACTTGCTTAAGTTTTATGTTGTACTTATCTTTGCTAAAGATACAAAGAAGCTAAAAATAGAGATGCCTTAATACCTAGGAAGACCAAAAAAAAAATCTTTTATCCAACTTACCACATGATGGTAAAGAATATTAAAAATGGACTCTGATCAATCATAAGTGACAATTTTTATGTATTGTTCTACTGCCATTCAGTATAAAAAAAACTAAGAACGTCTTTGTTTTCAAATTTTCCAATTATGACAGAGTAAGATATGCAATATAATCGTTATTCCACTACCATGAAAGAATTACTTGGAGAAATAAATAAAAGAGGTTTTTGGGGTTTTTTGTAAGAAAAAGCACTAGTTCACAAAAAGCATTGCTTTTCCTTCTTTTTTGACTATCTTCTGTAAAAAAAAAAAAAAGGCTATAAAAACCCAAATTATCTTTTGTGTTGTTTGTTTAGATGACTACCATTATTTATTTCTCCCTTTTGCAAGAGACTGACAATATCAATTATACCAGTTTCAAAATATAAATATAAGCTGAACATTCATTGTATCTCAACTTTTCTCTCCTTAGAATTTTGTTCCTTTGGAATGGAAAGCTTAAGTTAACTCTTATTTTTTCCATTCTAAAATTGAAAATAGTTAAGACAATAAATTTTCCTCTGAGCACAGCTTTGGCAGAATTCCCTAAATGTCCATGGACTCTATTCTATTTGTTGTCATTTTTCAATAGTTTATAATTGAAATTTTGACTTTCTTTTGAGTTCAGTTATTAAATAACAATCTTTGAATTTTCCATTGATTTCTTGGTTTAATCTTTTAAAAACAACCATTACCATTTTTTCTGAAGTAAAAAAATTCATATATTAGAAGGGTCATATCATCCAATAACTTCATGTACAAATATTTCTACATTTTCACCATAAGGAACGGGAGAATGCCTCAAGCAATGAAAAACTGGCAACTAGTTCCATTTTTTTTCCTTTGTATTCTGACTAGAAACTTACCTTGCCAAAATTTTTCCAGTTTTATCCTATCAATATACACTATAGAATCACATAGTTCTTCAATATGATACATTTTATTTTTTAATAGAATTATATGAAAGACCCAGAAAAAAGGAATGGCATCTGCTGATATGATAATTAGTAATTGCAGTGCCTATCTAATAATATACTTATCTTACTTAGAAACAAAAACACACAAACAGAGGTAACTTGGGCCATCCATGTGTATATTTGGGAAGAAGTCAAACAAAGGTTAGGCAGTGTCTAAGTTGAAATAAGAAGATGCTGGGAGATTGTAGGGAAAATGTTAAAAGGACAAAAATACTAGAGTCTAGTATTTTTGGAAGCAGAAGGGGAGATAGATAATAGACAGATGAAGAGAAAAGAAAAAGGGAAAGTGGGGACAGAACTACAAACTTAGTCATTTTGAAGAGAGGGTTAGTAAATTTAAAGAGAGAAACTCCAGGCAAATAGAAAGAAATTTTAATAGCAAGGTGGTGGGGTTATAAAATAATGAAAAGTAAAGAAAGGACTGAGAGTGGTACTGAAACGAATGAATTTCTTAAAAATGACTTGTAGATGCTACTAAGGACTATTTCCCACCATAAGCAAGTAGCTATTTATAAAATTTATTAACTCTAAATCATTAAATCATTCAACTTTGAAGTACATCAATTTACTCAGTTTATAGAAATTGCATTACAAATGTTGAATCTTACCCAAAAGTTGAGTTCGGAAACTCCCAATCTTTGAATTTTATTTCTCTTTAGAATGATCACCTAAAATGCATATGATGCAAAAGAAAGCAAATTAACATTTAAGACTTTTTGGTCATTTCCAAAAATCAAATCCACCCTTGAAAGACAAAGATTTGCCACCATTGCGGATATTCAAAAGTTTGTAAAGGCAATTCTCAGGTGTTCCAAAATGTGTTTGAGCAGTGGCAGTGTCACTGCAATAAGTATTTAGCCTACTGAAGTGACTGAGGAGGAAATAACTAATTTTTATCATAAATTATGGCATATTCTAAAAGTAAGTCTTCTTACAATTGTTTTTTAAAATATTTACTTGGGCATTGCTTTAAAAAGGTAAACTTTGTACCATGTTATTTTTCAAGGATGAGATAGAGAATGGGAGTTATTCGGGAAAAACTTTTTCATGTGAGTAATAATCAGGAAAGGGCCCTATTTATTCCCCTAAACCTATATCGGGTGGGTTAAACCTGTTACTTGACAGGTTAAAAAAAACCTTCATGAGCTTACCAAACACTTACCCATGTCATTAACAAAGATGAAGAATAGTAAGAAGATAAATACATTGGGTTTCCAAACATCAACACAAAACAAAGGAGAACTGACATCTGAAAATTGAAGAAAAGAAATATGTTTTATCATTATTAGATATATATCAGAATGCACACTTTGTCTACAGGCAAATGGTGATTTCTAATACAAACTTTATTTGCATAAATAAGATTAATAAATAGATCTTGGACAAATGATAATAGGATTTCTACACAAGTATTGAGTTGTCGGAAAAGTCATGAAGCATTTTTGCAACAAAAAACATAGAAAAAAAAATGTCATGACTTTTCTAACAAGCCAGTATTTTCAACACCATAAATTCTATACAGCATAATTTAATTTTTTCTCTATCTGCTACTTGGTTCAAAGGAAATGAAAAAAATACTGCTTCAATTAATTTAATAATGGAGTGATATAATAAGACTTAGTTATAAGTATTAACTTTTTAATCTTATTTTTGTTGGACTACCTGAGCATTTCTATCACTAATGATGCTTTATTTTATGTACTTATCGAGAAGATATTTATTTTTATATTCCTAAGGGAGATATGCTTGAAAACTAAGATAAAAACAAAAATACAATAAAATTTACATAGTGTCATATTCATGTACAGTGTTAGAAATTTCAGGTCTCAGGGAGAAATGGCAGTTTCAAAAGTAATGAAAATAATAACAAATAAAACATATAAATAAAAAAATAGTGAAAAACTCCTATACTGTTGTTGAAAGTACAATGTTATAATATGGTATCTATAATGTACATTTCATGTTTACCTTCTGGATACTATCAAAATTATATGTATTAAATACTACTTGAGAGAAGGTACCCCATAAAACAGAATCACTTCTGTTTTATAAACCTGAGATCTTATTTTAATATTTGACTTATAAATATGAAAAGTGTTACCATGTTCATATAAATGATCTTCTGAAACTTCTTTGGCTCAATGTACCCCACAACAAACATGGGAAATAATGAAGCTATCTGAAATAAAAATATTAAAAAACAAAAAAGTGAAAAAAATGTAGACAACAAATATTTCACTATTCATTAGCAAAGTAAATATAAGAGGAGGGTCATATTTATTCTAATAATGATAGCTAAAGTAATTTCAACCAAAATTCTTCTCACTGACAACTGGAATAGCTAGGGAAAATATCTGTATGAAAGCCACAGATTACTAACAAGGCAAAAAAGCATTAGATAGCTGAGACCAGAGAAAAGGTGAAAACGGTCACTTTTCTCCCAAAGGCATCTGCCAATTCCAATAGTAGTAGATGCCTGCCAGTTGCGTGGTAGTTAAGAGATTTTCATAGATTCAGCAGTGAGGACACACCAAGAATGAGATTCCCGCTAAATCCTCAGGCTTCAGTTTGGGGGTCCAAAGGGGTATACTGTAAGTAGAACCAGGAATTAAATACCTTCAGAGAGACTGAAGCCTACCTTTGAATTATCTCTTTCTCTGACTGCATGAGTGATTCAAGATTGCTAATACCTTTATTTGTCTGCTGGGAGCAAATTTAATCTTCTCTGGAAGATGTTAATATCAACATAGTTTCAAATTAACTACACAATTGTTCATTTACAATATCTAATATCACATCAAAACTAACTAGATACAGGAAGAGATAAGACATGATCACAAACACAAAAGAAACAGATTCATAAAGAATCTAGTTCAGGGGTCAGCAAATGTTTTATGTAAAAAGCCGGAGAGTAATTATGTTACATGTTGTGGGGCATATATAGTCTCTATTGTATATAGTAAGTCCTCACTTAACATCATCGAGATTCTCTGACTTTAAGCAAAATGACATATAGTGAAAAGTTTTACCATAGGCTAATTGATATAAATAAGAGTTAAGTTCTTACGGAATCTCATCAATGTTACAACAAAACAACACTGAAAGAAATGATGTTATTCAAGGACCTGTATTCTTCTATTTTTTTAAAACAATACTTAAAAATGTAAAAACCTCTCTTAGCTCACAAATCATTCAAAAACATGTCTGGGGGCAGCCGGTTAGCTCAGGTGGTTAGAGCGCAGGCTCATAACACCAAGGTTGCTGGTTCGATTCCCACATGGGCCAGTGAGTTGCACCCTCCACAACTAGATTGAAGACAACTACTTGACTTGGGGCTGATGGGTCCTGGACAAACACACTGTTCCCCAATAAAATTTCAAAACAATTAAAACATGTCTGGCATCATCAGATATAGACTTTATGTTTGACATGTGCAAAGAAATAGCAAACAGGATTGAAAGTTCTAGGATACTACTGGGCACCATAAAAAAAAGAATCAAATTGAAAATGTACAGCGAGATATTACAGTAACAAATATTAAGAAGTCAAAGATGGATTTAAAAGCAGGTTAAATACAACCAAAGAAGTGGCAAGCTGAAAGACAGTTCAGAAGCAAATACCTAGAAAAAGCATAAAATGACAAAGGGATGAAAAATACATCAAAGACCATGAGTGATATAGAGCATGTAGTATAAACATCTAATATATTTTACTTTACATCTCAGAAAGGGATAAGGCAATTAAGTAAAAACTATATTTAAAGAGATTTGACCTGAGAAGTTCCCAAAATTTATATAAGAAATCAAACACTGATTCATAGAGTATTACAAATCCCCAACAAAGGATAAATTCAAGCAAACGAACCTGTCCACACTCAGGCATATCATAGTAAAAACTGCTCAAAGCCAAAGGCAAAGAGAAAGCTCTTATAAAAAGCTGAAGACTAACTGACTTTAAGGCTTACTATAAAGCTGCAGTAATTGAGACAGCATGGTATTGGAGAAAGAACAGATAATTGATCAATGGGATAAAATCGAACCCAGAAACAGATCCACACAGTTACAGGCAACTGAGCTTTGACAAGGGAGCAAAGGTAATTCAGTGGAGAAATGACAGACTTTTTAACAAACAGTGCTGGAAGACTTGGACACCCATGCACAAAAAAATGATTCTAGACCTAGACCATACACATTTCAAAAAAAATTAACTCAAAATGGATCTTAGTCTTATGAGTATGTGTGAAAAACAAACTATAAAACTTCTGAAAGCTAACACAGGAGGAAAATCCAGGTGAACTTGTTTGAGTATAGGTTTTTAGATATAACATCAAAACCATGATGCATGAAAGAAAAAAGTTGATGAATTAGACTTCCTTAAAATTAAAAAAACCTCAGCTCTGCAAAAGACATTATTAAGAAAATTAAGAGAAGTTAGATGCTGTGAGAACATCTTTGCAAAACCCGTACCCGATAAAGGTCTGGTATGCAAAATATACTAAGAACTCTTTTTTTATTTTTTATTTTTTATAAAATTTACTGGGTGACGTTGGTCAATAAAATTATATAAGTTTCAAGTGTACAATTCTAATACATCATCTATTTATTGCATTGAATGTTCACTACCTGGAGTCAGTTCTCCTTCCATTACCATATATTTGACCCCCTGTACCCTTTTTCACCCCCCTTCCCACCTTACCCTCTGGCATCCACTAAACTGTTGCCTGTGTCTATGAGTTTTTGTTTGTCTTGTCTGTTTGTTGCTTTCAGTTTTACCCACATATGAGTGAAGTCATATGGTTCTTGACTTTTTCTGTCTGACTTATTTCATTTAGCATAATAATCTCAAGATCCATCCATGTTGTCACAAATGGCCGTACTTCATCTTTTCTTATGGTCAAGTAATATTCTATTTCTATATGAGCCAGCAATCCCACTTCTGGCTATATACACAGAGGAAACGGAAACAGAGTATCGAAGAGGTATCTGCACTTCCATGTTCACTGTAGCATTATTCACAATAGTCAAGCTATGGAAATAACCTAAGTGTCTGTTGACGAACAAATCAAGAAGCTGTGATATGGGTATGAATATTATGCAGCCATAAGCATAAAGAAAATCAACAACTCAGTGGACCCTGAGGGCATTATATTAAGTGAGAACAGTCAGAGAAAGACAAATACTGTATGAGTATGACATCACTTTATATAGAGAATCTAAAAAAAGCCTAACAGGTAAAAACAGAGAGTAGAAAAGTTACCAGGGGCTGGGGGCTGGGGGAATACGAGATGTTTAAGGGCACAAACTTGCAACTAGATGAATAAGTTCTGGAGACCTAAAGCACAGCACAGTGATAACAGTCAGCACTGTATAATATACTTTAAAGTTGCTGAGAGGCTAGCTCTTAAATGCCCTCACCACAAAATAAAAAAATAATAATTATGTGACTTGATAGAGGTGTTCACTACCACTATGGTGATATCAGGTGGGAATCATACTGCAATATAACAGTGCATGAAATCAACACTGTTGTACGCCTTAAACTTACATAATGTGATATTTCAATTATATCACAATAAAAAAAGAAGAAACCCCACTAAAGCCTAGTATACCTTTTGAATGCCTAGAAAATCATGAAGGCAATATCAAAATTATCAAAAGAGCCACTTAAACAGTTTCCTCAGCACCAGTGGATTAATAAATTTGCTTTAAATGCAGTGATGCACATGAGAAATCTATTCTACTTTGTTGGCATGTGCAAATAATGGAAACCATAGAATTTCTGTGTTACACCCTGAAAGGGTCAACTATAAGGAAGTAAAGCCAAGAGAGTGTTTTGAACATGCTTTAAACATGCAGCACCAATTAAGTTGAGATTATAATTTCATTCTTTGTACTACTGGCAGCACAAGGCTTCTTGGCAGAATTTCTCACTGCCAATAAGGAACATAATGATTATCAGTGTTTATTTGTTAGGCGGAAAGAAATTCTAAAACAAAATCTTAGTATCACGAAATTCCATCATCACTCATTCACCTTTTACTCCCTGTTTCTCCAGCTCAGTTTCTTGTCATTAATTAGTTGTTGGGGAAACAGAATATGGCCTCAGTTCACTCCAGTAACATCATGATTAAAGCTCTGAGAAAGGGTGTCCAGTAAGATTCTGCTCTTCAGACAAAATGGCCACCATTTAGCTGCATTAGAAGCAGAAACCCCTTACCACGCAGAGCAGAACTGGTCCTTACCATGTTGTGTAGCTTGGCACCCAAAATAATTCCAAAGGTAAAGGAAAATCTACAGGCAGATTTACAGAGATCACATCAAATACCAACGAGAAAAATTGTGAATTTAAATAATAGGAAGAAGTCTTTTGCATGTTGGCATTAATATCGGCCTAACTATCCAATACACTAATAGGACGTAGAATTACATGATTGTTTTTTTAAAACCACTCATGTATGTAAACTTTATAATTATTCCATATTTTGAAAATCTATTAGGATACAAATATAATCACAGTTTTAAAACTTGTATAGAAAATAACCAAGTACATCTTGCATTCAACTTAAATCAGTTTAAAATCACCTTACCTGTGTAAAAAGTATAAACTGAGCAAACTGCCAGGGAAGCATAAAAGCGACATTGGAAAGACAAAGTGCAGCAAAATGCGTTCTACTGCTGTTCGAGGTCCTTAAGGGAGAGAAGCGACACCAATAAGTGTTACCATAAAAGCAGCCTATCAGCAAACAGAAAGACTAATTGCAAAATGATCAAATCTAATGATCCCATTATCTTTGATGTAAGACAACAAAAGCTCATTAAAAAGAACTGAAAATATACTTGGATTATAAAAATGCTTAGCACAACACAATCAAAATCAGGGCTTTACATGAAATAGTGTACCTACTTTATCAGTAAATAAAATATTTGAAACATAAAATTTTATTTTCCTATAACTAAGTATGACATTAAAAATTTAATTTGCCAACAAGTAGGTCAGAAAATAGAATGTGAACTGACGCTGCATACCTCAAGGGGTTTACCTTATATGAGCAGCAATAGCTTTTATAAACCACCACTTTTAGGTTTTAAAAAGCAATAAACAAAAGTGTTAAGTGCTGGTGAAATAATAAGTTAATAATTATAAGAAGGTTTTAAAGAAAAAAAATTTAAATGACCTGAAAAGAATTATGGAACACAAACTACTGCATATTAAAGTTTAAAATGTCCATTGTGCAATTATGAGATATACGATATTAACAACTAACGCCTTTTACCACAGAAGACTTCAGTATCTTTTAGAATATGAAAAAAGAAATGCAAACATTTTGTGTAAATAATAAAACTGTAACTGTTCTTTCTGTGAATACAGTACTGGGTTTTGATAAATTCTTATACTATGGAAACTAATTTTTCAAAAGCAAGATTTTAAATGTTCACATTGTTTAGCAATATTATCACAAAACATATTTATTAAGTACTCAGTTATCTTATATTTATCAAACAAACATATTTTTGGCAAAGTTACAGAATATATAGACCACATGCATGCAAGGATACAATTCTAAATGTACTAATTAACACATTTCATTCCACAAAACCCCTGACTGGTCAGACTAATAGAAGTTCAAAAAATAAAAAATGGAAAATAAACCATCTTTCTAGAAGTCTGAATGGGAACGAGTGGGGATAAATGGGCAGCATCCTCCATATTATTTGACAGGAAGTAAAGTGCAAAGACACAGAAATCCAGGTGGAGCGCCGATTCTGAAATCCAAATTCAATCCAAAAATAAACTTGTCGCGTGGGTAACAGATCAGGAGTTAGTCTGCACCTTTCTCGAGGTTGGTAGTCACTCCCCGTATGCCACTGTTTACCTTCTTTAAGCTCACGTAAGAGCCTTAGATGTCTGCATGGTGGTGTGCTAAGTGCTCTGTGGTTAGAGAGATAAACATGGCATCTCCCTGCTTCCAGGAGTATTTTAATCTACTGAGTGTCTGTGTAGACATTGGTGTATGTATGCATGATTCACAAATGTACAATTTTAGGAAAGAAGACGGCATGTACACAAATGGTTTTAATACAGGCAGAATCTCACAGGCACTAGTAGGTGAAGCATGGGGATGCCTCGGAGTCTGGAGGACACAGGGGTCAGCATTTCAGTCAAGGAGCGAGCTCACTAACATTCAGGGAAGTTACTTCTATGATAAAGGTACTTATAGTGTTCTGCTATCTATGGCTCTGCTGTCGCTATTTCACAGACCTCTTCAATTTCTGAAAGGCTTATAAAATTAATTTCAACAGCAAAAAAAAAAAAAGATGTGTCCAAGAAAAGCAGTTGAGATGAAACTCTGGTCAAACCTCCAGAAACATCAGTAATTCGGAAAAATTCATAAATATATTAAAATATATAGTCCTAATCTAGCATTTCTTGAATTCATTTGTGCATAAGACATTTTTCTCATGAAATACACATCAATGCTCGATCAAGACCACATGAGTCAGAGTACAAAAGTTTTGAAAAAAAAGCAATAGTTTTTTAAAACCTTTGAATCTTTGCCATATATATAAACACTTGTATCCTGATTTATTAAAACATAAGGTAATTATCTAAAAAGTATAGTTTAGGCTCTTCAGTGGAAAAAAATGTTTGCATGGTATTTTAATTATTTTCTTAACTGGATATTCATTTAATTAAAAAAAAACTAACAATAGCAACTAAATTTGGAAATTATAACTTAACAGGTTGAAGTATATTGTTAAAAACTTAATTTTCACCTATTTTGATTTGTTTTATAAGTAAAAATTACCTGAGAATCATAGTTAAAATGAACATCTGAAGTACAAGAAATGGATATGAGAAACTTTCCCGGAGAGGCGGTGTCCACATCACACGGGTAGCCTGAAATCAATAAAACGCTTACTTCACTCTGTGTTCCACTGCAATAAACATTACTAATCTAAAAAGCATGACTGGGAGAGTTTTCATAATTCTAATACTAGGCTCGTTCACTTGTGAATGCCTGGCATAGCTTCTCAGATTCTGTAGCTCTCTTAATAGGCACCTAGACATTAGGTAGAGAACCGTTAACTACCAAGTGCATGAAAGATATGCCAGGCCACGCATCAGGAAACACAAAGGACAAACTGGACGGTAGGTATTGGAGCAGTGAGGATTCTGGGACTCCAAAATCAGCTCCACATTTCAGCTCTGCAGTGATGACCTTGGTATCCCACGGCTTTGAGATATACACATGCCTGGAAAATTATCTAAACAAATGTCACCTGGGGCATTCACAAACACCAACAGAAGTTACACAGGACAAGTTTAAAGAGTACAGACAGACATTATAAGTAATTAAGATTGTCTCTGAATTTGTGAAACATACCTTTGAAAGAGTTAACTATTTCTGAAAACAATTAGAAGTATTTGGGAATCACTAATGTGATGCATATAATAAAAGTATTAATTAAATTTTGTATAGCCTTCAAAAGTATTTCTAAGACATATGGGTGAGGCTATTATAAAAATTTTATATCAATAATTATAAAAGATTTATATCAAGAATTTGAAAATTCTAGAACAAATCCAAGCTCTTATAACCTTGCAAGAACCTTGAAAGTTATTGCTCCTCTTCCAAGAAACCAAAATTTATAAACCTTGTAAGATGAATTATGGTCTGTATAAGAAAGTCAACTCATAATACCAGTCATCTGGCATACTCAGAGAAAAGGTCTTGTCTCTACACGAACACATTGGTGAATGATGGTGTGTATTTGTTTGCTTTAAGTTAATATATTTAAGATACTCATTATAATTTTTATGATTCCCTTGTCTAACAGATTTTTTTTAATTAACCTATCTACCTTTCACAACAGTAATGAATCAAGGTTCTACCCTATAAGCTGTGCCATAGCATAGTACATACTTCGCTTCTAAAAACGGGCAGATTCTCTCCCTTTCCACTGCAATCATCGTCAGCATCTAACACAGAGTCTGGCACATGTTACAGACTTGGCATTTTATTGGGTGAATTTATCCTATTCTAAATAAGTTTCTATGAGCTCTTTTTAGTAAGTTAATTTCTGTTTTGTGTTACTGAAAAGGCAGCATGATATAACAGAGAGAAATGAGACTTTGGAGCCAGACGGATGTAGAGTGGGTACCCCGCTTCACCATGTAGTGAATGTGTCATCTTGGGTAAGTAACTTAACCTCTCTAAATTTCTTATATCTTCTGCTGTGAGGAGAATCACCATCTCCCACAAAAGTTTGGTAGGAGTACGTGTGATAATGTATCTAAAGTGCCTCAACTCAACAAGGACAATATTTCCTTTTTTCTACCAAATATATGTGTGTGGATATACGGTACAGACTGAAAATCAGGCAAGATATTCATGTAATTAAAATTCTAAGTATTATGTAAAATGTGGATCAACATGATTAAAATATCAACTTACAACACAAGGTTCTTTAAAATATTGAGAACTCCTAAGTAATATGCAATTATATATTGCTTTAATGAATATATTTCCTTGTTCCTATACAGCCCCTTCTATTTCTTTAAAACTATTTTCTAGAAAACAAACCTCTCCATGATTGAAAAAGTAGCATAATACTGTAATTAGACCTCCAAGGTGAGTCCCACTGTAAAAAAAAAAAAAAGTAAACAATCATAATTTATGCAAAATATAGGTCTTCATAAAATTATCTTAGAGTTTAAAATCATCTATAAAATGGCATAGTACTAAACTATATAAAGTAACAGTAAAAATCTCAAAAGTACCCATGTAGTTGATATCTTAATCTCAAATGTACAAGCATACAAAGTGTGCTTTATACTTTACATATAAAGAACCTGAATTTTCTTCATGGCTGAACTTTTGTACCTCATTTAAGAAATCTTTTCGTGTCCCAAGTTACTGATGATAGTCTCCTATATAACGTTCTAAACATTTTATAATTTTGTCTTTCATATTTGAGTTTATAATCCAATGAGGATTTATTTTTCATATAGTTCTAACTTCTTTGTTCTAGATAATCTTCCAATTATTCCAAAACCATTTATTAAGAAGCCTTTCCTTACCCACTGACATGCAATATCTGCTCTATCATACATCAAGTGTCTTTAAATGCATGAGTGTGACAAAAAAAAATACAGTGAATGCTGCTACTGAGTGCCATCCAATGGAAAGGCAGGGATCTTCAATATGGGAAGTGGCACGTCGAAGTTTAGTAACAGTGTGTGACAAATGCAGTCAGTTGGGTATGAGCTACAGTTGAAAGAAGATGTGCTTTAAAGTGTGCTGTAAATTATCCTCCATCATGACAGCACTCCATGATGACAATTTCTGTCAAATAAAAATATTATGGTGTGTCCTCATCCACCTTATTCACTGGATCTGGCAACGTGTGACTTCTGGCCCTTCCCCCAATGTCAAAATGACCATGAAAGGTAAACATTTTGAATCGATTCAGGACATCAAGGCAGCCATGACAGCGTAACTAAAGACACACATGAAAGAGGACTTCCAGATCTGGTTCAACAAATGGCAAGAACGATAAGATGGATAAGTGTGTTCAAAGCAAGGGGGAGTTTTTTTAAGGGGATTAACGGCAATGTGTCTTTTACTGTGATAAATGTTTTTTATCTAAATTTTTTCATCACACCTCGTACACTTCTTCTTCTGGGCTCTATTTTATTCCAGTGATCTATTTGTCTATCCCTATTCCAACATCACAACTGTCATATTCACATCTGCTTTGTAACACAGAAATGATTAACAAAGGAAATCCTCCTAGCCTCTCCAAGAGTGTCTCAAATAGTTTAGGCCCTTCGCATTTCTGAATAATTTTAAAATCAGCTTATCAAGGTTAATAAAATGGGTAGTGCATTGAATCAATAAATCAATTAGGGATAACTCTATCTTTTGAATATTGAGTCTTCTAATCCATGAATATGGTATGTCTCTCCGTTTATTTAGATATGCCTATGTCTCTCAATAAAGTTTTACAATTTTCCGAATGAGATCATATATCCTTATTGTTGAGAATCCACGTTTTCCGTAGGTACTAAACTTATGGACCTTGGTCCTTGAGAGGCTTTTGTGAACTTGACCCCAAAGGCAAGGGAAGTAGAAACAAAAATAAAGGAATGGGACTACATCAAATTCAAAAGCTTCCACACAGCAAAAGAAACCATTATTAGCAACAAAAAGAGGAAACAACATAATGGGAGAAGATATTTGCAAACAATACCTCTGATAGGGGCTAATATCCAAAATATATTAAGAACTCATACAACTCAAGAACAAAAAAAACTACCCAATTTAAAAATGGGCAGAGGACCTGAACAGACACTTTCCCAAGAAGAAGTACAAATGGCCAACAGATACATGAACAAACACTCAACTTCTCTAGCTATTAGAGAAATGCAAATCAAAACCACAATGAGACATCACCTCATACCTGTTAGAATGGCTATTATCAACAAGACAAATAGTAAGTGTTGGAGAGAATGTGGAGAAAAGGAACCCTCATACACTGCTGGTGGGAATGCAGACTGGTGCAGCCACCATGGAAAACAGTGTGGAGGTTCCTCAAAAAGTTAAGAATAGAGTTACCACATGATTTAGCAATCCCTTTCCTTAGTATCTACCCTCAAAATTTGAAAACATTTATTTATAAAGATATATGTGCTCTTATGTCCATGGTAGCATCATTTATGGAGGCCAAGACATAGAAACAACCAAAGTGTCCTTCGATGCATGATTGAATAAAAAAGATGTGGCACCTTTATACAACAGAATATTACTCAGCCATAAGAAAGGATGAAAGACATGACTCTGCCATTTGCGACAACATGGATGGATCTTGACAGTATGATGCTAAGCAAAGTAAGCCAGATGGAAAAGGCCAAGAACCATATCATTGCACTCATATGTGGGATACAAAACAGAAAGTAACAAATGAATAAACAAAACAAAACAAAACTGATAGACACAGATAATAGTATGGTGGTTACCAGAGAAGGAAAGGGGTAAGGGGAGAATGATAAGGGTGAAGGGGATCAATTATATGGTGATGGGAGGAGACTAGACTTTGGGTGGTGAGGACACAACACAATATACAGATAATGGATTGTAGAATTGTACACTTGAAACTTATTTAATATTAACCAATGTAACTTCAATAAATTCAAAAAAAGAACTTCATGTTTTCAATGCAATCCTAAATGACGCCATTTAAAATTTCATTTTTTGTTTGATGCTACAGCATAGATGTATAATATCTGTGTATTAATTTTTGTTTCCAGTAACGTATATTTTATTATTATTTTAATACTTTACTCATAGATTTTTGGGGAAATTTTCTACATAAAATCATGTCATCTGCTTGTAAGGACACTTATTTCTCTTTTTCAAGTTTTCCAATCCTTATACTTATTACTACTTTTTCTTGACTTACTATGCTGGATAGGATACCTGGTACAATGTTAACTGCATCACAATTTTTTATTGATTCTGTGCTAGTATTTTTATGTGAAAACTTCCTAAAACAAGGGGTGTATATAAACTCTATCTACACAAACTCGATGAAAACTCAATAAACACTTGTTGAAAGACTGAATCTAGGTTTTTAATTGTAAACGTCGTACAGGTCAAGAATCACATTGTAAAGGCAGGAAACTGATGACTCAGGAAGGTATTCTGCTGTAAGAAATAGAAAACCTGACAAAAGTGGCTTGAATAATATGGATGTTTATCATATTATCATAGTATTCAACAAGAAATGAAAGTTAAGTGTCTGCTGTCATTGGTTCAGCAGCACAAAGATGTCAAGGCCGACTTGTGTGCTGTGTTTATGGCCTCTCTCATGGTCTGAAGATGGCTGCAGCGGCTC